GAGTAGAACTGCTGGGCCAAGACAGTATGTACTGGTTATGTAAGATTTCCTATATTATAATTTCTAATTGATATTTTCCTCTATTTGGTGAGACATCATTCTCTTATTTTCCATTAATTCTTTAGACATAGTTATTTTAGTTCTTTGAACATTTTCTTGGTATCTGATTTAGTCTTTGCCCGGTAAGTTCAACATCTGGGCTCACTCTGAGACAATTTCTATTGACTGCTTTTTTTATTTGTATGTAGGCCATATTTTCCTGTTTCTTTGTACGTCTTGTAAATTTTGGGTGAAATCTGGACACTGTACATCAATTCTGGAAAGCAAAGCTCACTCCACACTGCTGTTTTGTGGTTGTTGCTGTGTTTTGTGATGTCCCTGGATCTGTTTGTAAAGACTGTATTCTTCTTGTGTGCAGCTTAGTGGTCAGCAATGACTGGACAGAGAATCCCCTAAATGCCTTCAACCAGTAAGCCTCCCGTTGCTTCGGGGCTGTTTTGGGGGTATGCTTTCAACGTGCCCGCAGTTTACAGATGCACCTCAACCTCCACTCCTGCTTGGATGAGCCTCAAGGAAGCCAGAGTGAGAATGTAGGGCCTCCTCAGGTCTTTCCTGGGCACACCTGCAGCCCTGCACACGTTGAGCCCCTCTAAATCCCCAGGAATAAGTCAGAACTTTTCAAAGCCCCCTAAGGACATCTCACTCCCTAGACTTTCAAGTTTTTTGACCAGTTTATTTGTCCTAAGTGGCGTCACCACCTCGGGCAGCTGGGATGTTGATGTTACTGCTGGTTGTTCTCCACAGACACTCTGGGGATAGGGATTTCCTCACCAGGAGATCTGAGTCAGGTCAGGTCAAGACCAGCTCTGTGAGGGGCTTGAATAGGGAACTGCCAGCAGGGTGGAGTGACAGTTCTCTGGGAACGAGGATTTGGGGGACTCCTAGACCATCTTGCCCCTCTAGTGTCCAATAGGTTGCTGGCTTTCAAGGCTGCTGCAGAGCTGACGGTGGAAGGTGGGGGAGAGGAAAAGTTAGAATCCCACAAAGCTCTTTGTTTACTGCACCTCAGCCATTTTTCTTGAACAAACACTTCAGGTCACTGCAAGCCTTGAACTTCCACAGTTGTGAAGAAGTTGATGTTGACAATGCATGTCATGTGCTTGTCGCGTTCATGGAGAAGCAGGTCTTCAGAGGTCCTTGCTCTGCTGTCCGCGGTGCCTCTCCTGCACTGTGGGGGGTGGTACTTGTTTTGTGACCATGGTAAATCTTTTTTATCAAAGATTTCTGGGATCAAAAACTTTTCTGGATCAAAAACTTTCTCAGATGTGATGAAAGCCACAGAAAAATGCGCATATGCCCACACACACTGACACCTTTCACCACAACTTAATTCTACATGTGGATGCTGGGTTTTGAACACTTGGTTTAAGAGAAGTTCAGAAGTCCTGCGGCAGAGCAAAGAACAAACTCAGAACATAACCTCTCCTGGCCACCCTCCTGTTCGCCAACCCACTGGCTTAAGCAGTGCTTTTCACTTCCTTCTTTAATTGTGGTGAAATACACATAACACACCTTACCGTCTTAACCACTTCTAAGCATGGAGTTCAGTGATGAAGTGTGGCGAGCATGTGGCGAGCGAGTGCCGCAGCACAAAGGGTCAGAACTGCGGTGACCCCCAGGGTTGCTGGTGGCCGTTTTAGGTTTTCTTCTCTCTCATCCTTGTACTGAGGGTCAAGCTCGCTGCGGTTCCAGTATTAAGAGAAGGGGGTCTTGCACTAGACTCTTCACTGTGGGCAGGCCCTGGGCTTTAACCTGCTCCCCGGTGAGGCCGTGAAAATGGAACAGTCCAGAGGGCAACCTGATAGGGGAGAGACTAGAGAAGACAAACTCAAACCCTTGCTAAGACTTACGAGTGGGAGAGAGATGAGCATAGTGATCGCAGTGACGGACAGAACAGTTGCCAGCTGACTGGACAGAGCTAGGCAATGAGCAGGAGGGGAGGGACGGAGGAAAGTAAAGGCTGACGGCACGTTTAGCTCCAGCCCCTGGGGAGGCGGGGAGGGCCTTAAGTGAGACAAGGAACACTGAAGAAGGTTTGGAGACTGAGTGGGTGGGTGGTGGAAGAGAGAAACTCACCAGAGACATGCTAAGATCCATTTCAAAAGGTAGCCTGACTTCATACAAACTTAGAACTTAAACACTTATTTTTTAATTCAACAAAAATAATTTGGGAGAGTTTCACAGGGAATTAAATAGCACTTAGATTTCAGGAGCTGGGGATACCATTTCTTTCATTTAACCTTTTTCTTTTCTATTGCCAAAATATTTGAAGATAAAGTGTTATGCAGCTATTACTAGTCAAATACTTTTTTCTTAAACTACCAAGTATTCGCTGGATTAAGACATATGCCGTTCAACCTTTCCTAATGAGACTACACTCCTAGAAAGCTAGGATGCTCATTATTCCTTCTGAATTTATCTCAATACCTAGCACCTACTAAGACTAAAAACCCACCTTTTGTGATCTATCATGTAGTAGAAGGAAACATGCTTTTTCAAATTATTCTGCCAAAGAAACAAACCTTGGAATGATCTGGAAGGAACATATACACCCTCATCACTGGCATTCATCTTTCCTGCCATTATTTGCCAAAGCGTTATATAGTTAAGGGTAAATAAGTGAGATAGCACAATTACAGATGGCTCTCTATTTTCTTCAAACATGACCAGCTACACCTGGTCACTGAGCACTAGAAATGTGCCTAGTGCAGATGAGGACCTCAATTTTAAATTCTGTTAACTAATTCAGTTATTGAAAAATACTTACCTAAACTTTTAATAACTTGGGTATATAAGTCTACTTTTCCAACTGTAAATGGTATAAAATCCAAATACAGATCAACTATTTCCAAAGAAAATCTGTCAGAAATGAGATGTGTTCTAAGCACAAAATACACAGTGAATTTTAAAGACTTGGCACCAAAAAAAATAAAAGTATCTCAATAATTTTTTAAAATATTGATTACTTGTAGGTCAAACAATGTTTTGAAATATTAGTTAAATAAAATAATTATAAAATTAATAAAATTAAAATTTTAAAACTTTTTTATTGTGGCTACTAAAAATTTTTTACGTGTGGTTCACATTATATTTCTATTATAATATTGAGCCAGACAAAAATAGCAGGATTGAATAAAAGACTGCCTTTTCTTATGAAAAATACTTCTCTGATCTAATCAATTTTCTAAGAAGTATTTACTTAAAATCATTTTATTTCTATATGTTTATATAAGTCCCTGAGCCACCTAGTCAGTGCTTAACAGCTGTGCAAGCCAGTTGGCTTTAGACAGCTCCTGGAGTTTCTAAGGATTATTTCTTGGCAGCTCTTGAAAAAAAAAACACTAATTGAAAGGTTAATCAAATCAGTCATCCTTGTATGTTGGTTAAATAAACACCCTGTCTCCACTGAAGATTAAACAGATGCATTACACTCTGCCCAGAAGCCCCTCTTATTCTATAATTATTTTTACTTTTCTTCAAGGTCCCACAGAGTATGGCAGTATTTTTTAATATCTTGCAAATCAATATTTTATTCCAATTTGTAAAACTCTTCTGCACTTCCAGGATTCTACAGACTCTGAAATATTTTATAGCAACACTAATTCCACCTATGGTACCTGAGGGGGAAGGTCAGTTCTAGAGATAAGTTTGCTTAGGTGAAAAAATATGCACTTAGAAGTAGACATGTTTCTAGGTACAAAGTTTGTTAAAAATGCCAGTAAGTGACAAGACAAAGTACATCTGAAAAAACTGCTGTTAGGACACAGTTAAAATAGCTCAACAGATAAATACTTCTTATAGACAATCAACATATAAATCAGTTATATTTAGTAAGACCTGCAGGTGTCCACGTGGTAATTGGGTCACCATGAAATCACCACGGCAGGCCAAGGACTAGCCAGGGAATGGGTAATGCTGAAGATACGGATCCTCATTTTAAAAATACAAAATTGTGTGGTGATGTTCACAAAGCTGAGTTTCCTTTCCATTTGTAGAAAGAACACAGCCCTAGCCTATCAGGGTCAAGAGAAATACCTGAAATAATGATGTCTGGAATGTGTAACCAACATGAAAGCCCTACAGAAATACCGAGAATTCCCATAATACGGAATTCACTGTTATTTTTTAATACATGTGCTAGAAATACCTGAAATAATGATGTCTGGAATGTGTAACCAACATGAAAGCCCTACAGAAATACTGAGAATTCCCATAATACGGAATTCACTGTTATTTTTTAATACATGTGCTCCACCTAAAACTGTGTTCAGGAATGAAATTGTAGAGACTGTGTAATTAAAGACCAAACTCTCCAGTAGATTACATTTCCCCAATTATTATGGCAGCAAATTCCATGTTTCAGGAACATATCTGATGAGCACAGGAATAGGAGAGACACTCTGAGCATCATGTGACAGTGCCGGTCAACATGATCCTGAACATATTAATAGCCACTACCCTAATTATACTTAGTAAAATGGTGCTCTCCAGTTATTTTATTGTACCTGCAAGCCAACAGGAAGTGTGCTGCAAGAAGATCTGGAATATGGGCAGGATGGATGTGGGTTGATACAGCACTGCTGGTTCTGATTGGCTGGTGTCTGCACTTACTGATTACTAAATATTTTGAATCTACTTCTCTCTGCGTGAGAGTTTACTTATTACGTTGATTAAAAACGGATGTCTTCCAAAAATTATTACTTAAGGAGAAAATTTACTAGAAAATATTTTCCCTTGAAATTACTTAAAATGTGATCCAATTTGATGCAAATCATGTAAGTTACACCAAAAAAATGGAATAACAAAGGATCACTCAATTCTAAGTAAAGTTCAAAAGTACATTTATTTAAAATGTGGGCAAGATATCGATATAAAAGAAAACAGTATAAGAAATAAAAATAATCAAAGTACAAAACATTGCAAATCTTTAACATCCATAATTTAGATAGCAAGGTCTTTATTTACACCATTTTATTTGTTGCTGAAGTTCTGTAACAGTTTTGTGAAAACATTTAAAAATCTGGCAAATAAATCATAAAACCTAATGTGGGTTCTGAAAGTCATATAATACAAAACATAATTTATGTTTCCTCAGAATAAAGTCGCACATCTTAATAAGATGCAATATATTTATTATATTTGTTTTCTGGCTTTAAAGTATTGACCCCTTAGAAAAAAGCAGCTAGAAAACAAGGGCATCTGAAGGAAGACCTAGTGTGCTATCACCAGTGGGCGGCCAGACGTGGGCTCCAGGACTCCAGTCACACAGCAGTCCAGACACTGTCAGTTAAATTTATACGTGGGTGTGTTGAGGAAAACCACTTTTAAACACAAAGAACTATACTGAATAAAGGGTCCCAATGTTAATCAGTTCCATTATACTATTACAATTAGTATTATAATACTATTATAATTAGTATTATAATACTAATGCTTATAGCCTATCTCCAAAAATTTAATAGGTCTTTTATCATTCCTATCAGTAACTCCTGCAATAATTTCCCAGTAAACGGAGATATGAAATATACCAAGCTCTGACAGCAATGATAAGAGGGTTTCTGCACCAAGCATCATTCCAACTAGGTAGGCTACTTATGGCTAAACATGACCTTTGCTTCCAAAACTGAGGCAAATTTTGCTTCTTAAAAGTGCTTTTCTCCCAGTGATACTTAGACTTTCTGCCTAGTATTACACACCAGCACTTTAAGGTTAAGAAGAAAGTGTTTGATAAGTACAATCAACTGGATGAAACAGGCATATGAGAAGGAAAAGAAAACTCACCAAGGCTGGACGTCATTCTGAACTCTGTGACTCACTCGTGCACACAATTCTCTTGTGTAGGAAATGGCCAGCTAAGGCTGACATCTTTCAGAAGCCGTGGAGGCTACTGCGCTTATCCAGAGTAGAACGACTCCTGCCCTTCAGCCCCCAATTGCACCAGCCCAAGGGAGAAGATCCGGAAACATCCCCTGAAAGCAGACCCTCTTGCAGTGGGAAACTGGGACTGGAATATGATTTTTTTATACGGATTTATGAGGCACACTTTGCTTCACTAATAGGCTGTTCACACATTAAAATAGTAATTCAGAGATTTTTAATAAGAACTATAAATAACAGATGACAAGCTTTATTTTTTTCCTGAATGCCTGAAATACAAAAGTCTAAGTGTGTCAGAATGCATTAATCTAAAGATTTACCTTTGCATTTTATCTATTAGCAACATGCTCATAAATTATTCATTTTCATGTTTCTAGTAAAAGTTCCTGAGTACAGACACTGTAAACAAACTAAACTTTACTCCAAAACTATAAGCTCAAAAATGAGCTGATAAGGATCGCAGACACTGTAAACAAACTAAACTTTACTCCAAAACTATAAGCTCAAAAATGAGCTGATAAGAAGAAACACGTATATTTATTTTTGCAATTATTTTCTATTTTATTTAACTGTGGAATACTTAAGCAGATAGTGCAGATACTTTCTAATTAATGTCACCTACTGAAACTGAACACCCAATAAGAGAATGTCTTTACCTGAAACTCAAATGACTGTTCTGAAGAGAAAGAATTGTTAGCTGCATGAATCATAATAGCAAAGCAGAGAAAAACGGCATGCAAAAGCAGTAAGTGCACTGCTCTATCAACCTTGAAAACCCATCTTCACATTCAACCCATCCACGTTATGTTCTCTTTCTAAAAGGATATGATTCATAGTCCAGTGTTTGTGTAAGTACTCCAGTGAGAACAAACTCTGCATTATGAACATCTGAATGGAATAAAAACAAAAACCGTTACGGTCAGTAAACACACTGCTGCATGTGTACATACACACACTAACACACAGCGAGGGCAGCAGCAGCCATACCTATTCCTCGGGCAAAATATTCTCGGCACAAATGAAGATCATTTTCACAGGATATTAAAATTATTTCTGACAAACTCTAAAGGAAAAGAAAAGGAGCTTATCAGTGAGCAGCAAATCTTCACCTGACAATGATGGATCAAGAGCCTCTTTATTTCGTCCCACCCACCTTGTTCTGCTTATGCTCCATGAGTTTCCGGAAAGATGGCTGTTTAGGTAACACTTTTCCTCCTGCACATTCCACAATTGCTTTCATAGTTGAAAGGCTCGGGCAGATGCCAGGTGTGATATAAAAATATTTTGCCTAAAAATAAAATAAAATATATGTCCTATGTTGTTTAAATGCTTTTAATTTTTAAAGTACTTAATTTTTCATAGATTCTAACCTGACTTTTTTGACAAAATATTTAATCTCATGAAATTATGAAGGTAATATTCTCCCACTAATACTCAAGCTGAAGTGGGCCTAGAGAAATCCAGGCATGTAAATTTAGAAATAATTTAAGCATTTTCCCATGTTAAGTATGGCCTATGATGATTAATAGTAACCAGACTTAAGTTCCTAAAAGAAATAAAGTGCTTTGTGAATAAGCAGGAATATTATAAACATTTTTCACACTTTCTATGAAATTCTAAATCAGCATTACATTTAAACCACATTCATCTGTCAGCAACAGACTAACGCTGCATAGGATCCCAGCCTGTACTCCTTTTTCTTTATTTTCTCTATGTTACTTGGACTCAAAGTAGGAAATAATATTTACATTTAAGATTTACTCTCCAACAAACTTTCTCCTGAGTACACCACAAAATACTACTTATTTTAAACTGCTCATGGGAAAAAAAAAATCAAACATGTAGAAAAATCAGATCATTTTAGGTAAGACTCAGTATTTCAAATCATTCCTAATTCCTAGATGGCTCCTTAAAAAGTTTAAAGAACAAATTATCTTTATTGATTTACTTAGCTCTTTGATACAAAAAAAATATTTCCCAACTGTTCTAAGTATCTTATCTAACAAATACTTTAAAATCATTAGTTATGAATTATTTATGCACACATTCAATTATTTTCCAAGTATCTTCTCCAGCTGAATACACATTTACTGAGAATAGTATTAAGAAAGCAGTAACCTCTAAAGATTTGTTAAAAGCAGAAAAATGAACATAGATGTCTCTTGCCAATTAAATTTATTCATAGACAGATTCTTTGAACACCTTATCTCTAAGAAGTCTACTTATTTAATTTTTGTGCCAATATTTTTTAATTTAATAGTAAGAAGGGTTCTCTACAGGTGTGCTGTATTGAAGGAAGACCTCCACGGGCAATGTCCAAGAAGGGGGACAAGCCACGAAGGGCCCACTCCTTCCCAATCACCTGTTCATTACCTTCAGTTGGACCACGTGTTACATACATCTACCTGGACTGATTTGACTTTTTTCCTTTAAAGTGTACCTTAAACAGTGGAGAAATGTGTGCCCGTTTTAAGGACTCTTCCAAACTGAAAGAGAAAAGCACTTCAGCCTCAGCATCTCGGAGAATGTAGTTCTGCTCATCTGGAAAACAGAAGAGTACATGCTCTGAAAAGCGCAGACACATGAAGTATAGCAGGTGCAGCCCACTCCCAGAACTCTCTCTTTATTCAGGTATATATTATTCGTGGCTACATTTACTTATACAACTTGAATATTTAAGTCTCACACTAGTGTATTTCATTTATTCCCCCCCTGAAAACAGCCAGACCAAAAAGACCAGCAGATATTCTTTCTCCTAGATCAGTGATAATTAACCTTTTAGGGTTATGAACTCCTTTGGAAAAAACCTGCTAAAAGCTATAGAACGTCTCCCATTGCTGCAGCTGCCCTCTTCCCCTCTCCACTGTAATCTCACTTGCTATCTTAAGGAGTTCATAAACTCTCTAAGCCCAAAGACCCCAGGTTAAGAATGCCAGTCCTAGAAGACAAGCTTTAAATTATCATCACATCTAAGTATATATACAATGACCAATTCCTCAATGACTTGAGGGACATCAGAGTCAATTAGCTGATAATCAATTAGGTGAATTTACCAAACTTCATAGATTACCATAAACACATTCAAGTATATAAAAGTGTACAGCAATTTGTAAAGGATAGATTTACCAACTTCTGAAAATCTTTAACTGACCGGTTTTCAAGAGTATTCATAGCAACATTTTAAGTAACGTCCAACTTATCGAAAGTTAAAGATCACAAAACGTCTTAATCTTCCTGTGACTATGTCTCATGTCCAGAAAGGCGTTACTTCTTCTTCCACATTTCTTTCTTTTTTTTTTTTTCTTCCTTTTTTTTGTCTTTTTTACTGACCGGTAATGGGATCGCAACCCTCGGTGTCACACCCGTACAGGGGACCGGCAACGGGATTGCAACCCTCGGTGTTGCGCCCACACCACGCTCAGCCAGTGAGCGGGAACCGGTCTCCACATGGGATCCGAACCCTCGGCGGGAGCGCCACCGCGCTCCCAAGCAGTGCACTCTCCAGTGCGCCACCGGGCCGGCCCTTCTTCCACATTTCTTAACAACCAAATAGCACAACACAGACAGCTCAAACCCGACAAGACATTCATCAAAAGCAGGAAACAAGGAAGAGTCTAGAATCAGGTTGAGCAAACTATGGTCAGCCACATGACACTTACTTTAGGATTTGTGGGCCACGTGTTATTTGCATATTCTTCTCCTTTTCTTAAGCAATGCTTTAAAAATGTAAAAACCATTCTTAGATTATGGGCCATAGTTTCTGATCCCTGGGGAAGAGCAATTACCTCACTACAGAAATGCTGAAGACTGAAATGCCTTCTGAAGAACTGTGAGGGACTGCCAGGAAGTAGTTAATGTCTATGACAGAGAAAATGACATTGAAAAATAAAAGAGAGTGACTGAAACAATCCTGTCACAGATAACATACTGACATTTTGTTTTTTAAAAGGAACAACAGGGTAAAGTTAGTAGTAGTCTGTAGAAAGACTCAACCTGGAAGTTAAAGTTTTCACAGTATAAAGGAAATCAGTATTCCAAAAAGTAATTATCTATAACATTGGTGTCTCAAACTTTACCTAAATTAAACATAAATACGAAATTCCAAAAATAAGCCCTTACCCCCCAAAAATCAAAAACCAAATTGATTTTTGATTAAAATGTTAAAAGATGGGTAAAAGCAAGAAATAAACCAAAAAGCAAAACTTCAGGTATTAATTGCTTGAAATAATAAACAAAGGTTAATGGCCTTCTTGAGAAATTTGGAGAACAATCTGAAAATGTAAACTTTTGTCAAAATAAAATACCTTTAAATATGTGCTAAAAATAAACCATTAGTGGACACTGACAAACTGATACTCAAGTTTATTATGGAGAGGAAAAAGACCCAGAATAGCAAACTTGATAGTGAAGGAAAATAAAGTCAGAGGACTGACACCATGTGACCTCAAGACATACTATAAAGCTCCAGTATTCAAGTCAGTGTGGTATTATTGGTAAAAGAATAGACAAATAGACCAATGGAGCAAAATAGTGAGCCCAGAAATAGACCTACATAAATATAATCAACTGATCTTTGACAAAGGAGCAAAGGCAACACAGAATGCATTGCAGAAATAGGGTTGGAACAAGTGGACATCACGTGCAAAAACAAATCTGGACACCAACATTACACTCTTTACAAAAATTAACTCAAAATGGATCACATGCCTAAATGTAAGATGCAAAGATATAAAAGTCTTAGCAGATAACATGGGAGAAAACTAGGTGACCCTTGGTCTGATGATGACTTTTTAGATAAAACACCAAAGGCACAATCCATGAAAGAAATAATTGATAAGCTGGACTTCATTTAAATTAAAAACTTCTATTTTACAAAAGATATTGTCAAGAGAATGAGAAGGCAATCCACAGATAGGGAGAAAATGTTTGCAAAAGACATATCTGATAAAGGACTGTTGTCTAAAATACACAAAAACCACATTAAAACTCACCAGTAAGAAAACAACCCGATTAAAAAATGGGCAAAAGATTGGGAGACCTCACTAAAGATACACAGATGGCAAATAAGCATATAAAAACATGCTCAACATCAAGTGTCATTAGAGAATTTTAAATTAGAGCAACAATGAGATACCACTGCAAACCTACTAGAATGGCCAACATCTAAAACATGACAACACCAAGTGCTGGTGAGGACATGGAGCAACAGAAACTCTCACTCTTTGCTGGTAGGAATGCATACCTACCACATGATCCAGCAATCAAGCTGCTTGGTATTTACCAAAAGAAGTTGAAAACTTATGGCTACACAAAACCTGCACAGGGATGTTTATAGCAGCTCTCTTCATAATTGCCAAAATTTGGAAGCAACCAAGATGTCCTTCAGTAGGCGAATGGATAAATAACTCTGGTTCATCCGGACAATGGAATACTATTCAGTGCTAAAAAGAAATGAGCTATCAAGCCATGAAAAGACATGGAGGAAACTTAAATGCATATTGCCAAGTGAAAGAAGCCAATCTGAAAAGGCTACGTACAACTCCAACCATAGGACATTCCAGAAAAGACAAAACTATGGAGATGGTAAAAAGATCAGTGGTTGCCAGGGGCTGAGGGGCACGGAGGGATGAACTGGAAGAGCACAGAGATTAGGGTATCGAGACTGCCTGTACCATACTGTAATGGTGGATACACGTCATCTTACATTTGTCAAAATCCAACAAACTACAATGCCAAGAGGAAACTAATGTCACTATGAACTGTGTGGGCAATTACGACCCAAATGTCAGTGTAGTTTCACTGACATTAACCAATGTTGCACTCTAGTGTGGGATGCTCCGTGGGGGGTGTGGGCAGGTAGTATTTGAAAACTTGTACTTTCTGCTCAATTTTGCTGTGAACCTACAACTGTCCTAAAAAATAGCCTATGTAAAAAAGAACCTTCTCTTAGGAAATCCTAAAATTTGGGGGATAAAATATGTGCTACATTTTCTTAATATTAAATGTGTATAATATAACTAAACCACTTTATAACCCTCAGAGATCACAGCAAACATTTATTAACAACGCTATAAAGAAATGGAAAGCCAGTGAACCAAAACTTCCCATCAAACATGAACTATAAACTTCATAAACATATTTTTAAAAAATCAGATTTTTGTACACTGGTAACTTTGTAAAATTAAGAAAATCCGGTCGCTCACTAAATCGATCATTTGACAAACTGATTTTCAAGTTGGCATGCTTCTGCTTAGAAAAGGAAAAAGAAAAGTCAGAAAGTAATGATAAAGATAGGGAAATCTTTTTAGGGAAAGCTGGGTGCTGCAAAAGCAGCCAACAGAGCCAATGGCAGCAGGACCACCACGGGCCTGTTTTCTCCAGCAACCAAGCCCACGTGTATTTTACACCCACAGGAGAACCTAAGAAATTATACTTACTATTTCAATCAAAGAACATACTATCTCATTCTAAATTTTGTAACTCTTAACATTATACAAGATTGGGAACTAAAAATATAGGTTTTTAATAATTGTTTCTACAATTTTTTTCTTCTGCCTGTATCTTTTTATTTATGAACAAAAATCTTTTCCAAAATTTCAATTGAGAAAAATTTCTAAATACTTAATACCCTTGAGCCTCATTACTCACAGATTCAATATCTATGAATCTGCCTACTCTCTAAAATTTATTTGTAACCCCAGTATCAGTACTTGTGGCACTTTCATGGTCATTCATGCATATGCACACACTGGAGAAAAACCTGAGTCACCCATGTGCACATTCCTGGCTGAAATAGGGCAGCACCCTCCTATTTCAGCTCACACTGTGAACAAGTGTCCTCTTCAGTATAGTGCTACTTTTTCTTTTCAAAGACTTATTTTATTTTTATTGAAACACAATTGATCATACATATTTGAGGGGTACAGAGTTGACGATCAGTATTTGTGTATAATATGTGATGGTCAAATCAGGAGAGTTGGCATATTCATCATTACAAAAAGTACTCATTCTTTGTGTCCATTATCAATTTCTCCCTAATCCTTCTCCTCCCCTTCCCCCACTAATAACCACAGTTCTGTTCTCTCCTTCTGAAAGTCCAACATATTGTTTGTTGTTTCTTTGTTTCTTTTTATCCCATGTGCTGACGAGAATGTGTATTCTGTAGTTGGATGAAATGTTCTGTAGATGTCTGCCAAGTCCAACTGTTCTCAAGTGTAGTTTAAATCCTGTTTCTCTGCTGATCTGTTGCCTAGATCTGCCAAATGTTGAGGGAGGGGTGTGAGGTCCCCATCTAGTACTGTGTCGGGGTCTCTCTTTTTAGGCCTAATAGTGTTTGCTTTATATATCTGGGTGCTCAGATGTTGGATGCCTATATATTTATGATTGTTAAATACTCTTGCTAAATAGATCCCTTTATCATTATATAATGACCTTCTTTTCTCTTTTTATGGTTTTTGGCTTAAAGTCTACTTTATCTTATATAGGAATAGCTTCCTCTTGCTCATTTTGGTTTCCATTTGCATGGTGTGTCATTTTCCATCCTTTCACTACTAGTCTGTGTGTCTTTATAGGTGAGCTTTCTTGTAGATGGCATGTAGTTGGGTCTTGTTTTCAATCCATTCAGTCAGTCTACTTTGTCTTTTGAGTGGGGAATTCACTTGAATTTAGGGCTCTTATGGAGAGGTACTGCCTTACTCCTGGCTTTTTACTTTTTTATGGTTGTTTTAAACATCTTTTGTTCCTTTCCCTTTTATTGTCTTCAGTGTTTGCTGGATTTCTGAAGTGGTATGATATAGTTTCTAGTTTCTTTCTCTTTCCCAATTGAATATCTGTTCTAACAGGGTTTTTGTTTTGTTTTGTTTTGTTTTCCTGTCTCATGTATACATGGTGGTGATGACCATTTTCTGGATTCCAGATGAAAGACTCCCTTGAGGATTTCTTGCAGGGCTGGTCGTGTGGTGGTGAACTCCCGCAGTTTTTATCTGTCTGGGAAATAAACTATTTCTCTTCCATTACTGAAGGATGGCCTTGCTGGGTATAGTACTCTCGGCTGGCAGTGTTTTTCTTTCAGTACTTTGAATATAACATCCCATCCTCTTCTGCGTGAACTCCCGCAGTTTTTATCTGTCTGGGAAATAAACTATTTCTCTTCCATTACTGAAGGACGGCCTTGCTGGGTATAGTACTCTCGGCTGGCAGTGTTTTTCTTTCAGTACTTTGAATATAACATCCCATCCTCTTCTGTCCTACAGAGTTTCTGTTGAGAAATCTGTTGCTAGTCTGATGGAGGCTACCTTATAAGTTACTGGACACTTTTCTCTTGCTGCTTTTATGATTCTCTCTTCGTCTTTGTCTTTTGACAGCTTGACTGCAATATGCCTTGGAGAGGACCTTTTTGGACTGCATCTATTTAGGGATCTTTGAGCCTATTGGATCAGACAGTCCATATCTCTACCAATACCTGGGAAGTTTTCTGCTATTATTTCACTGAATTGGTTTTCAATGACTTTTCCTTATTCCTCCTCTATTAGAATACCCATGATTCAGATGTTTGTGCACTTAAGGTTGTCTGAAAGCTCTCATAGATTTTCTTTTTTTAAAGTTCTTTTTTCTTTGTCCACCTGGGTTATTTCAGAAAACCTGTCGAGATTGAAAATTGTTTCTTCTGCTTGCTCTAGCCTGTATTATTTTTTATTTAGTTGAATGAATCCTTCTGTTTCATGAGTTCTGCTACATTCTTTTTTAAGGTACTTATCTCTTTATAAAGTTACTTCTTCATATCCTGAATTGTTTTCTCATTTCATTGTGTCATGTATCTGAGTCTTCTTGTACCTCACTGAATTTCTGTAAGATTTTGTTTGGAATTCCTTTCCAGTCATTTCAAAAGTTATCTGCTGTTTGGGGTCTGGTACTTCAGAATTATTATATTCCTTTGATGGTGTCATATTTTCTTGTTTTTATTTCTAGTATTCCCACACTGATGTCTGGTCACCTTGTGGAGTAGCTTTTTCTATTACTCCAGAGTGGCTTTTCAGGAGAGACTCCCTCCTATAGATGTGTCTTATACTGACCTTTAGCCCTGGGCAGACTTGCTAGAACCCCAGCTAGTGTCCCATGCCCCCGACAGGTGCACTGGGGTGTGCTGAAAGCATCTGGCTTGAATGGATGATCCTGGGTGAGGTATCTCTTTCTTCTTTCCTGTGGGCAGAGGGTTCTTCTGAGTCCTTGCTTCTCCCTCTTTCCTCTTGCCTGGTAAAATGTGGGAACAACCCAGATCTGGGTGAAGTGGAGCTGATGTCACTGAGGCTGGGCACTGGTGGGGCATGGGACTGACTGGTGCATGGGGAGAAGGGCCGCTGTGGTGGTAGTGCTCTGGGGTTGGGGTGGCAACAGCAGCGGTTGTGCTTTCCTTTATGGTGTGGGTGCTGGACTGCCAAGGAAGGGGCTGCTAAGCCACCTCTCAGGAGGAAGGCAGGTCCACTGAGCAAGCCCTCAGTTGACTTCCCCATTCCTCTGCTTGTGGGCCATGAGCAGTGTGGCTGGATGGGCCCTCTTCAGAGCATCTGGTCCAGCCGCCTGTGGGTGCTGGGTGGGGGCTGCTGGGCCAGTGTGCATCCAAGTGCCTGGTCCAGTTGCCTGTGGGCAGTGGGGAAGACCACTAGGCAGTCCTGCTGTGGAGGGGCTAGTGCATTTCCTTCCAGGTCTGTTGGCAAAGCAGCTAGGTGGGACCATTCAGGGTGGCGCCACCATTCAGGGTAGCGCCACCAGGCCGCCTCTCTGAAAAGGGCAGATACACTTTATTTTCACCAGCCCAAAGGTATATTCACTATATAGAGACCTGTGAGCTGTTTTTCTGACTTGGGGGTTCAGGTGTGTACAATTCAGTCAGCTGGTGAGGTGGGGGGAAATGGGTTGTGGTCAACCTAAGGAGGGCCTGCCTTTCGGATCTCTGGCTGGAGACATGGCAATGGGTCAATTCAGCAGGACTAGGGTTGGATTCCCAGACTGTAGAGCACAGTCACAGCCTCTGTGAGCCCAGGCTTCCAGCTGCCAGGCAGTGCTGCTGTTTTTAAATGTTTGTGTTTTTCATTGGTGATTTCATTGTTTAAAATGGCCCCAAAAGCAGTACTTAAGTGCTGTCTAGTGTTCCTAAGCATGAAAAAGCCATGATGTGCGTCATGGAGAAAATCCATGTGTTAGATAACCTCGGTTCAGGCATAAGTTACAGCGCTGTTGGCCATGAGTTCAATGTCAATGAATTGACAATATACATTAAATAAGGTGCCTTTAAACAGACACACATAAAACAAGGTTATGTATTGGTTGGTTGATGAAAATGTAGTGATCAGAGGCTCTCAGGAACCTAACCCTGTATTTCCCCAGGAGCCACACACAGTTCAGTATTCACTAATTCAGTATTTGTGGCAACTGTATAGAGCATAACTATGTGAATAACAAGAACAGACTGAATACTGTAGTAGCGGACTTAGTTTTTTTTCATGATATTAATGATTTATTCTTTCCTATGTTTTACTGCCTTAGATATAAAACTATGGAAGTTTGGTTCTAGCTTTGCTATAAACAACAATCTTAAGTGTCTTTATTTTTCTGGATCTTAATTTCTCACCTGTGAAATTAGATTACATAAAGTCTAAAATATATATACTTTTTATTTTTTACACCAAAGACTGAATTATGTTTAAAATACCAGTGGCCAAGAAAATGACATGGATCTGGAAAGTTTTAATAAGATTAACTTAATGATGACTGTGCCTGTTAAGTGGTAAATAAGATTAGTTTAGTCAGTCAGAAGAGTGTGGTGCTGGTGGAGACCAGCAGTGTCCCTGCAGGCCCTGCCTGCCCCACAGCCACACACCTTGCTTAAGGGGAGCGGAGAGAGGGGGACACAGGTGAGAAAATGTGAGCAGAGCCCAGAAATAAAGGGTAGACTACTGACAAAAAAGAAAATAATTATGTGTATGCCCTAAATCAGAGGACAATAATCAATATAATTGCTACATGGTAGGGTAGCAAGGGAGTTCAGTTTTAGTGCCAGTGTAGTTGGGGCATAGAGACCAAATGAGAAATAAAACAAAACATGGTGAAGCTCGTCACAGGGTCAGGTGTCTCTGCTACCTGTTCCACCCGGACAAGGGACTGGTGAGGACCAAGGACACACCTGGGGAAGGTTAGAGGTTTCTGGCCTAGACAAGGCTCTGCATATAAAAGCCAACACTGCTGCTACTTAGGATGATAAAGGTACAAATTTGTTCTGGCTATATAGCTTCTATGGAGAAAAAAGTCACTTCGAATTAACAATAATTTTATACTTAGCAAGGTTCTAAAAACACTTAGGTATATTTATCAGTCTAAGAAAAATAAAAAACTATTCTCTACACACCACCCCTAAACGTGACTGCTAGTAAAGGAATTCCCTTCTGGTGGGCAGACAGCAAGTGGAGGCAGACAGTTCCCTCCTAAGTAAACCGACATTCAGACTGTCCCAGGACATTCGTGTACACCTGTTCTCCTTCCAAATAAACAGAAAAATTACACTTTACTTCACTGTGACAATCTCAATTTGCAGCTGGATTTCCAAGCAAAATGTACTAATAACAAAACAACAAAGAAGAATACAAAGATCATTTTCCTTCAATATTATCCAAATTACCAGAATCTTTATATTTCATGGTAAAGTACAAAGACATCGATCAAAGGAATCACTGGGACATGAAATAAATTTATAAATTTAAATAAATAATGATCAAATAGTTAAAAAATAAACTAGATGCCTTTTAGGATAAAAATGGAGATAAATTCAAGAGAAAAATGTGAAAGTCTCTTTGGCACTAAAAATGAAGGGACAGAGGCTGTGACCTACCAACGAACTTCTGGCACTTGAAGCACTCTTCTAGCCACTCCGGTGTCACTATGTGCTTCACGACAGAAATCGCCGTCAGGAACTTCACAGTGCGTGTCACTTTGCTGGCGATGAGGTGTGTGCACTTCTTCGCAGACTCGGCAACCTCACCACCAAGGATGTAGAGCTTCTAAAGTTCACAAACACAGATCAGAAACGAAAAACCAAACATCTGCAGAGCCAAATCACAGAGCGTAACAGATGACAACCTTCCCGGAGACAAGATTTATGAATGTAATTCTCTGCCACAGAAAACAGTATGACAGGTATAACCAAACGAAACAAAACCTAACAAAACTGTAGGAAAAAATAAACAGCAGAATTTACAATTTTATAGTTTTGTAGTAAATTCCACACGGATCAAGATTAAAAAGAGATTCTCCATCAAACTTCAATCACATATCTCTATGAATAAATAAAATGATGTGAGAATTATGCAGCTCACTTCACAATAAAAAGTCAATATGCCCAGACTTTTTAATCTGAAACTGGTATTAATGAGGTACATTAACACACATTCTCCACTTTTAAAAATAATGGCATAAAAATAGACTAAAACATGAACATATCAAAAAACGACCTCTTAATAACTATATCCATATTTTAAAGGTAGAAAAATTAAATTGTACTAAGCCTGTAATATAGTCATGTACTGCATAAGGACATTTCGGTCAGCATCCCCCTTGTACAATGGTGGTCAGAGCAATACACTGTACCATACAGCCTGGGTATGTATTAGGCTATCTACACCATCTAGGTTTGTGTAAGTGCACTCTATGATGTTGACACAATAACAAAATCATTTAACAACACATTTTGCAGACCATATTCCCATCATTAAGTGACATATGACTGTAGCCACATTTATAACTGTTTCTTTTCCTTAAAAAGAATTAGGAGTAAAATGTATGAATCCAACATGATACAGGTCAACTGATACTCTTAACTACACTCTCACCACCAACAGAAAAAAACAAAAAACACAATAAAAAAAAAATCCCATCTTCTATTAGGCTGTTATTTCAAAGTGTATTTAAAATTCAGTTCCACTTTACCATCTAAACAAATATACAACCCCCCTTCGGCCTCACTCTATCCAAGAAAACTAATCTTGGGTAGACTGTTTCATTCAGAGAACCTCTTCTATGCCAGATGTCTTTATGAAAAGGATATTCAAATAGCCTTGCAAAAATGTTCACACAACTACAAAAATGGTTCTTGGCCTACAAATCTGAATCATATTTTTCTATTAATAAGAAAACAAGTATCTAAGAATGAACAAAAGCACAGAACAAACCATGAAGTCACTAACAATTTAATGACTACTTATTACTGCTTTATAAGTATGCTATAATAAACTGCTAGCCTGAAGAAAATATACACAGAAAGGAACATTGCTAAAAATCCTTATACAAAGTAAAATGAAATTTCACCTTAATATATTGTTGAACTTGGACAGGCTCAAATCCAGTGAAAAGCACAAATGGGGTTGACTCTGGTGTTAACTTTTTAGTGGGAGGTGGTATATCTTCAATTCTATAAAAATACACACAAAAGTGATATTTTATTATTTATTTAAAATTAAAATCTTCTTTAGAAAACAAGAGATTTCAATAGTTTTAACAAGGTTTAATAGTGTTAAATGTGCATGGTTTTGTTCTTAAAGGAAAAATGCAATGAGTTACCCATCCTTTCTTTCCCACCATTTACACAAACACACCCCCCAAAAGACTACATCAAATACCTCCAAGAGTAGCAGCCAATTAACTTTTGATTAGGATCAATACTTCCTTCCTTATCAATCCCCTAATTATTATTTTTTTTAATTGGCTTTAAAAAACAAATGTTGGGCCGGCCCAGTGGCGCACTGGATAGTGCGCCACTTGGGAAGCGTGGCAGTGCTCCCGCCCGAGGGTTCGGATCCCACGTACAGACCGGTTCCCGCTCACTGGCTGAGCGAGGCGCGGGAGCAACACCGAGGGTTGCGATCCCGTTGCCGGACCCGGAAAAAGAAAAAAAAAAAAAAAAAAAAAAAA